CAGCGCACCCAAATACCTGGGAGTCACTTTGGACCGTGCTCTGACCTACAAGAAGCACTGCCTGAACATCAAACAAAAAGTGGGCGCTAGAAACAACATCATACGAAAGCTGACTGGCACAACCTGAGGATCACAACCAGACACAGTGAAGACATCTGCCCTTGCGCTATGCTACTCTGCTGCTGAGTATGCATGCCCAGTGTGGAACACATCTCACCACACTAAAACAGTGGATGTGGCTCTTAATGAGACATGCCGCATTATTACAGGGTGTCTGCGCCCTACACCACTGGAGAAATTACACTGCTTAGCCGGTATTGCACCACCTGACATCCGCCGGGAAGTAGCAGCCAATAGTGAAAGGACCAAGGCAGAGACATCCCCAGCTCATCCCCTGTTTGGGTATCAGCCAGCACGTCAACGACTTAAATCTAGAAATAGTTTTCTAAGATCTACAGAGACACTCGCTGGAACACCTCAGCAAGCGAGAGTCCAAAAGTGGCAGGCTCAAACCCAGCACCTCAATCCGTGGGTGATACCAGATGAGAGACTCCCCCCTGGGCACACAGAAGACTGGGCGACTTGGAAGGCGCTGAACAGACTGCGCTCTGGCACCACGGGATGCAGAGCCAATCTTAAGAAATGGGGCTACAGGGTGGAATCCTCGGCATGCGAGTGCGGAGAAGAACAAACCACTGACCACCTGCTGCAATGCACCCTGAGCCCTGCCACATGCATGATGGAGGACCTTCTTGCGGCAACCCCAGAGGCACTCCAAGTGGCCAGATACTGGTCAAAGGACATTTAACCAAATACCAAATTTGCAAAATCTGTGTGGGTTTTTTTTCTTTCTTTTTTTCTTTTTCTTTTTAATCTCTGTGTTTGTTTTGCTCTGTTAGAATTGTAATACAATGGTTGCTGATGACATGATAAATATATATAATCCTGCACTGGGTCTTCATGCTTATCTTGTTTGGTTCCCAAACTCTAGGCATTGGTTTATAGACTTCTAAAACCTTGTTTGTGCCAACATGACTCCAATTGTGTTTCCTATTTCTGCCATTCTTCCAAAGAGACAGAGACATTGGCAGGGACAAAAGGAGGACACATATAATAACGAGGGCAGTGATTCCCAAACAGTAATCATTCAGGTGTTTTGGACTTCAATTCTCAGCTGCCATGGCTAGTAATCAACAATCTGAGAGCTGAAGTGCAAAATATCTAAAGTCCCCGATTCACCCCTGAGTCCGGGGAAGGCGGCCTGCCTTTCCAAGCCTCCAAGGAGAAGGAGAAACATGGAGCTGGCGAGAACCCTTTCTCCAGTGCCATGTTTCTCCCCCAGTTCTTCTCTTAATCTGGGGAAGGCCTGCCTTCCCAAGGCTCAGAGGAGGAGAAACATGGCACCGGTGAGAGCTCTCCGAACAGCGCTTGCCAGTGTTTCTGTCTCAGCCCTCCTCTCAGTCCAGGGACACAGTGGACAACTGCATCCGCATGCTCAGAGGAGGACTGAGGCGCATGGGGGATGGAGAAAAGAGGCCAAAGGGCTGCATCCAGTCTCTTGCAGACAATCTCAGGAAGTGCAAGCATGGTGGCTATGTGCTTGCCTGCCACTCTGTTTCTGTTCTTTCTATCTTCTCCTTGTTGCGATCCAATGAGAGAGAAGAGATGAACATGTTCTTGCACTTCTATTCCTGCATTATCCTGTTGCATGATACTTCTGCGAAAACTAGTGGGTTTTGTGATATCTCACCAAACTGGATTATAATAGGTTCTTCATGTCATGGATTATGTACCCATGGATTCAATTATCTGAAACTTGATTTTTTTTAATCCAAGTGCAAATATTAATTTGGCCATTTTATATAAGGGATGTCATTTTACCAGGCCGTTCCTGATAAGTGTACCTGAGCATGCACAGATTTTTATATTCCTGGAACCAAACTCCAGCAGATTCCAAGAGCCTACTACATATTATTCTAGGAAAGATTGTGGTCTAGGATCAGTCTGTAACAAGAATGAATTGCAAATGTAACACATGGCAACCCATCTGAAGCAAAACTGCATTATAAAGCTTTTTCTACCAACAGTATTTAACGGTAATTTAGAGGGCATGGGATTGTGGTTGCTTGCAAAACCAAACTTCTCCTATCCTGTGGTAGAGCCAGATGAGGAAAAGGACTTGCCCCATGACTTGGAGTGTGAGTCTGGTGCTGTTTGCTTTCCACATCACAATTGCATCATTTCCCCGATCGTTCTTCCTCTCACAGTGGTTGGCTTTCTCTATGCCTGAGTGGAGATACAGTTCCTTCTGAATGAGATTGCCTCACCAGCTGCCGCATGATGAGCAGAGAGAAGGGCTGTTAACATTGTCATTTATATAGACTGGGGAATTCGCCTTCTGAAGTCCAGTTTTTTTCCCTGTAAAATCTTACGTTTCGTTTGATATTATAGATGATCAGTTTTATTTTTCTCATGTTTAATAAGACAATTGCATTTCCCAGGCACACAGCAGACAAAAAGCACAATTTGCTTGCAGTGAGGCAGGGCTAAAGGCATTTCACTCAGTGATCTGTGGTCTATTGCCTTGCCGTGGGACATGGGGGGGGGGTGGTACTTGAGGTGCAGAGAACTATAACAATCATTGCTTGTTCCATTATTTTTGTCCTCCCCAAACAAACTTACCTCTTTTTATGTGCATAACTTAACCCCAACAATCCGGATTTTCCATTCTAAAACATGACCCAATAATATGGTGTTAACTGTGGGAACAACACACTGGGTAAAAGCTGTGCAGATACATTCAGTTCACAAGTTCTGTGCTCTCATGTTTTCTGACTAATGCAATAACCATGACTGTCCCAGATACAGACCTGGATTTTGATACTATTCAGTCTACTGCAATAGCAAAATATCTATGTTCCTATGGTAAGATAATAAAACTAATGAATGTACTCTTAGACTATTTTAGTTCTTAGTTGTTGAGATAGATGAAAGTTCAAACCTCTTAAAGTAGGATTGCCTCAACAGATTTCTGTTTTAATAATAAGGCACTGGGAACATAGACTCAGAGTTGCACACCTCAGTGTCTCCGCTGGACGTTTGATCAGGTTCTTATCTCCACCCAATACAGCAATTGCTTCCCTTTATTGCAGTCCAAGGATTGATCAACTTGACAGCCAGCACTTGTTGAGGAATTGCCTGGGGAGTCTAACACAGCAGGAAGTGGTATTTTCCTGAGTCCACATGGGCCTAATTACCAGTAATATTCCTGGCAAATCACCAGTAAAAGGTTTAGGCACTGTAAGAAGGATCTGCAAAATAACAGCCCCCAACCATGAGGCCCCTTCTAATTATATGATTCTATGAACCTTGGATTCCTTTTGTTCCAGTACATGTAGGCAAGATGATATTCATTTAAAATAATAATGGAATGGTGGAATGGAAACGGGACACTTGATTTGATCCAGCAAACAATTCTTATTCTTTCTGGAGAAGAAACCCTATAACAATATTCAACCAGGTCATTTTCAACTTGAAGATCCTATACTAATTGGGGATCTTGTTCGCTGAGTGTCAATCCTTAGGTTGGCAAAATGGTCCTACTCACACAAAGAAAGTTTCAGTGGGTTTGGGAGAACATTGAGTTTTGCGAAGTTCAAAAAAATTAGGGAAACAACCTGCAATGAGGTGAGGGTAGAGACCAAAATGCAGGCGAATCTGGATTAAAATATGTTTGGTGAGGACAGATAGCTATCCCAAGGTACCTGGCACTGGCTTCAGTTAGTTGTCCAACTATAGCTCTGCCTGGCGAGAACAGACGACACCCTGATTACTTCCAGACTGCATTTGAAGATAACCTAGACACTCGAAGGACTCTAAAATGCAGTGGTTAGACTGCAAGTTGGAATTGCAAGGTCTGAGCTAATCCCTCTAATCTTGTATCATCTGGATTGGTTGGCGGTTCATTTCTGGGCTCCCTTTGAAGTGGTGGTTTTAGTCTTTAAGTGACTTTAAAAAATACTTGGGCCCTGGCTACCTTGGGAAAATATATTTCATGAACTGGCCTGTTCAGTAAGATTAGCATCGGATACTCTGTACTCTGTCCTGCCCATCTGGGGGATTAGATGAGGGTTGAGGAAACTTCTTTTTTGGGACAGAATCTTTTAGCCTGCAAGTCCTAAAAAGGACCTTTCCAAAGTTATTGCATAAGACAAATGAGACAAGTAGCACAGGTGATTTTATTCTGACAGTTTGCTTTTCGTGGACCATTTTCATCATTATGTTTAATCCACATCATTCCATTATTTTATTAGTCTTTACCTTGATTGTCTATTTGGACTGAGTTTTAAAAAGATAAAATTAACAGGTAAAGGATGTGAATTTAGCAAAACCTAATTGTTTTTTTTTTTCTAATCATTATTGGGAAGAAAGAAAAATGATCCCTTCATTATATCAGTTTACCTTTGGACTTCATCATGGCATTTCATCATGATTGGACTGAATTAAAGTTAGTCTGTGAAATTTCCACCCAAAATTATATTCTTTTCTCCATTAAATTGAACCCGATAAAATTAATGAATTAAAACAGGTAAAACAGATTTATAGTGTGGTCCAGATAAAAATGCAAGATCTTCCTGTATAGGTTTGTGATTTGTTATTCCTCTGTCCCTCTTTTGGCATATATACCTCTGGCAGAACCCATTGTTTGTGCTTGTTTTGCTGTTCGGCACCATGTACATTTAATGGCATGATATAAATAAATGATGAAATAGTTCTACTACTACTATTACTAGGTATTATTACTATTGTTGTTATTATTATACCAATACCAGTCAAAAGATGACAACCTGATTATATAAGGTAGCATCAACCAAAAAGACTTTCTCCCATATCTTCACCAGATGTACCTGTGAAGGTGTTTGGACCAAGAAAAGGTTCTCCTTAAAAAACCTTAACACAGAGCTGCTTCTAACCTCCTGTTCTGGCTCTTTCCTTTCCAGCTGTAGAAGACAGGACTTTGAAGACTGTCTGGCATGGGAAGTCTGGCCGAAATCCACTTCAGACGCTTTACAATAGTGACCAGGTGAGTATGCTTGAAATGGGAAGTTGGCAGTAGTTAGAAAAAGTGAACATGATGTAGTGGGGGAATGTAGGTTGCCCAGTGTGGTTCTATGGGCATCTTTTGGCAGAGGTTGACCATAGTTGCACTATAGGACCTCAAGATTCCTTGAAAAGTATTCTTCCAGCTAAAAATAAAAAACACATTTTTATCTGCACTTTTCCCATTTTCATGGGGTTCATATTCCCCCAGCAAATGTGGAGGGATGGCTGCAGTTTAATCAGAATACTGTGGTAACACATTTAGGTGACAAACTTCAGAATCCACCAACCAGCATGAATACTGGAGGAATCTGGAAATTTTAGGCCAAAATAAAAGTAAATTGCCACATTCTGTATGTGACTTGAACAAAGTGCAGCTGATAGCATCTTCTTTCTTTCTCTTATTTTGTGGAGTCTCGCTTATCCAACATAAACAGACCGGCAAAATGTTGTATAAACAAAAATGTCGGATAATACAGAGTCTCAATGTGTTGTCGAAGGCTTTCATGGCTGGAATCACTAGGCTCTTGTGGGTTTTTCACTCACCCAGTAGATTGTTTGTATGTTGTGTTTCCTCAAGATCCACCCAGAGTAAAAGTGTTCCTGCCATACATCAAGGGAACCACTGACCGCATAGGGAAGCTGATGAGGTAACACAACATACAATCTACAAACCCACCAAAAAAATCCAACAAATGCTACGTTCAGCAAAGGACAAGAGGGATCCTCTCACCTCTGCAGGAGTCTACCGTGTACCATGCAGCTGTGGACAAGTCTACATAGGGACCACCAAACGCAGCGCCCAAACACGAATCAAGGAACATGAAAGGCACTGCAGACTACTTCAACCAGAGAAATCAGCCATAGCAGAGCACCTGATGAACCAGCCTGGACACAGCATATTATTTGAGAGCACAGAAATGCTGGACCACACCAACAACCACCATGTCAGACTACACAGAGAAGCCATTGAAATCCACAAGCATGTGGACAATTTCAACAGAAAGGAAGAGACCATGAAAATGAACAAAATCTGGCTACCAGTATTAAAAAACTCTAAAATTACAACAGCAAAACAGCAGAGAGGAAACAACCAGGCACATCTTAACACCTCTCAACAAGAGATTTTCCCAGGCTCAGGCAGGCCTTCAAATGCTAATGAAGGTGGTCAGTTGAAACATTCACACCTAGCTCTAGCAGAGAAGAGCTCCTTGCCCCACCCCAGCCATTCCACAGATATATAAACCCGTTGTCCTATTTCCAACAGACCTCACTACCTCTGAGGATGCTTGCCATAGATGCAGGTGAAACGTCAGGAGAAATGCCTCTAGAACATGGCCCTATAGCCTGAAAAAACCCACAAGAATCTAATACAGAGTCTCATACTGTTACCTGTCTGACGTGGCATTAGACACCAAGAATAATAACAAGAAAGACTCAGAGAGTCCAGATGCAGAAGAGGAGTGTGGAAATCACAGAAGGAAGGAGGGAGGATGCTTCTGCTTGTCCTGTCTCTTTCCCCCCTTTCCTCCCTCCTTGTCTTGCCTTTTTCACTTATTGGGAATGGAGAGAGAGTTGGGGAGTGCTCCTTTAATTGAAGGGGAAATGCTGGAGGAAAAGGGGGGCATTGGATAAGAGCTTCGGATAGGACAGAATGTTGGATAAGCGAAGGTCGAATAAGAGAGACTACTGTATTTAGAATGATAGGTGCTGACAGGTGAGTGAGAACCTAAGACTGGAGTAAATGACCTCTCTGAATGTGACAGTAGCTCACAACTGCCAGATGCCTTCTGAAAAGAGAAAGTGAAGAAAATAAGGGTCCCTCTTTCCTGGTCTCTGTGACCTGGCAGAGGAGGAAAAAGCCACAAACATGTAGCAAAGGCCTTGCAGAGATCTTCTAAGGTTTAGAGTATTATAGAATTGTAGAACTGGTAGGGATTCCAAGCGACATCCAACCCAACCCCATTCTGCCATACAGGATTACACAGCACCCCAATAGATGGGCATCCAGCCATCAAGTTAAAGACCTCAGAAGATGGAGCACCCACCATCCTCTAAGAATGGTGAACTATTCCAGTGTTAAACAGTTCACATATTGCATAGACTAGATTGTGGTTTCAGATCTATATGTTACTTGGTAGAAGCTCCACCATTATAATTTTGGGACTGGGTGAGTGAAACAAAATAATTGACTTCAGCGCATTATTAAAAACAATGTGTGTCCATGCAACACTTTTGGACTTACTGAAGCAATATCAGCAACTTAATGTGAGGTGTGGAAGCACTAGAATTACTCAGAGGCTATGGACGTTTTGTATTTGTTAGGAGGAAAGGGGCAACCTTGAGTCAAAAATAGTAGAGAACAGCTTGATTTCATTTGATGAAATGTGAAATTGCTGTTTCAAATCTTCTTATAGAGAATAATCTGATTTCATGAGAACTAGGAAGAAGGGAAGGGAAGGCTTCCTCCGTTAACCAACCGTTACGTTTTAGACTCCAGGTATACTTTTCTCCCAAAAATCACAATCAGCACAGCTAGTGGTTCTGGTAGTTGGGAATTTTATGAAAGTTCAAACAAATCACTTTCCTAAGTTTTGAAACAGGTGTTCTATGTTTCTTTAGAGAAAGACATTGCTAAACAAGTGGGAGAGAATGTGGGAGGGAAAGCCAACAAGAGAAACACAGCTCTTGAACTTGTTCAGAGCAGCAAGCCCTGAGGCAGAGCCATGCCCCCTGAGTGTCCTGGCATGGCCTTTCTACCAGATGGCTCCTGCAGGAAAGGAATTAAATGAGGAGAAGGGAGGGAGTGTCGGAATAGCCAAAGGCTGTCTGTGTTCATGAAGGCGGACGGGCCACGTAATTCTGTCCCAGGGTTGACTTTCTTCTGCCGAGAGCATTCAGATGGGTATTTGATGTAGGCCTCTGAAACTTTTCTTTTGCCCTTCCTCTGCATGCATACCAGAATTTAGCAGCACTGGATTGAGTAGCATACACTCCAGCTCAGAGCAAAGGAGTTACATTTTTGGAATATATTTCCCACCCAGCATGGCCAGCTATAATCCATAAATTAGCTTTTTCAAAGGCTTCCCTGCTGTGGCTTTCCTAGAAATGTAAGCAAGTTAGCTTGGGTCTTATAAACTGTGCCACATGTTGATTCAGATCTGATGAAAGCTAATGAGAGTTCTTCATATAACAAAGAAACAGGGACAAGTGATTCCCTCTGTTCTTAGGAGAGGTTCTGAGAACCTTAGAAGGCGTGAAGTAATAAGCCTCATATGTTGTGGGCATGCAGTTGTGGGCATGCAGATCTCTGTGAGGAGTGAGATATATAGACACACATTCATAAAACAACATACCTATCCCATTATAATGTTTTCTCACAAGCAGCTTGCAATACGAACAAAAACAGCACAGTGGGGAAAATGAAGCAAATACAATTAGAATGGCATGGCTACACAGATGTACAAAATGCATTATATACATTAATTCATGTGATTAATTCAGATTTATACAAAGGACAAGACAATTCCTGCTTGTGACTGGTAATCTTATAAGCCTTACTTTAGAAGGAGACCAGAATGCTTTCACACCTTCACATATAAGTATTGGAAACACTAAGCAAGGGATCATAATAGGGATTATGCCAAACACAGAATTTGACAAAGACCTCTTTTTTGTGAGGGAAAACCCTCAAATTTCCCATTCTACCCATGTTTGCAAGGAATTTGTGAGTTGTGACCCCCAAAAGGGACCGTTGAAAGCTCTTGTTCCATGAGCTGAACAACCAGCAAACAGTTACTCTTTCTCCTTTATGTATTTCCTCAGGTTGAGCAGTCTTCCTTACAATCTACTCACCAGCGCAGGCGGGAACTGCTGAGCAGCATGTGCAGCCGTTACACCCGCAAGCGTCGCCTCCTGACTCCTGATGACTTGCGCCATTTGGTTGTTGATGACACCCATGGACTACTCTACTGCTATGTCCCCAAGGTGGCTTGCACTAACTGGAAGCGAGTCATGATGGTCTTGACAGGGCAAGGCAAGTATCAGGACCCCCTGGAGATCCCAGCCAATGAGGCACATGTGTCATCCAACTTGCACACCCTCTCTGAGTACAGCATCTCAGAGATCAACTACCGCTTGCGAAACTACCTCAAGTTCATCTTTGTTCGGGAGCCTCTCGAGCGGCTGGTCTCAGCTTACCGCAACAAGTTCACCCGCAATTACAACACAGCATTCCATAAACGCTATGGAACAAAGATCATCCGGCGGCACCGGCGGGATCCCACAGATGAGGCCCTGGAACGTGGCCACGATGTGCATTTTGAGGAGTTTGTTTACTACTTGCTGGATCCACGGACACAACATGAGGAACCTTTTAATGAGCATTGGGAGCGAGTGCATTCCTTATGCCACCCCTGCATCATCCACTATGATGTAGTGGGCAAGTATGAGACATTGACCAAGGATGCCAATTACATCCTGCGACTGATTGGGGCTGATGCAGGCATCAAGTTCCCATCCTCCTCTAAGACCACGAGAACCAATGATGACATGACTGCTAAGTTCTTTCAGAACATCAGCCCCTTCTACCAAAGGAGATTATTTAATTTATACAAAATGGATTACTTGCTTTTCAATTACACCATCCCTTCTTATTTACATATCCGATGAGACTGACTCTTCCTTCTCTCCTATTCTTGCTGTGATGAACAGTTTAGTGGGAACCATTCTTTAACAATGCAGCCACAGTTCGATCTCTTCTCTCTCCCCTGTTTCACTTGAAGGAATATACTGATATTCACCTGTCACTTAACTAAAGATAGTTGTTTCTAGAAAGTAGCAGAATTGAGATACTGAAATTGTGGCCCATTGTTAGGATTTGGAAGACTCAAACTAGAACATTCAGAGAAGCAATAATATGTGTCTGTATTTTTATATGTTTACTTAAAATTCCCACAAGCTTTTCTTTGCTTCATGGATTGAAGTAGGGAAAATGTGAACCAGAAGTGTCTTATTGAGAACAGTGTCTTAGTCTGAACTGGAATTTTCTGTGAGATGCAACCTATTTCATCTCAGCTAGCCTGCCCTTCTCAGCTGCCCTTTGGTATAACTGGCTGTTTTCTATACCAAAATCTGTTTAAGGAAACTCAGAGGGCTAACACAGAAACTGTACTGGAGCAATGCTTTCTATATTCTTCCCTTGGGATATGTCCATAAGAGTGGATGGATGTACATGTCCACTTGTGTATGTGGGTACCGTGACTCAAAGTACAAATGAATGACTTTTCTCAAATATTAAAAAGCATGTCCACACATAGTCGTGTCAAGGAGTGGTTTTCTCCTTTTCTAGTCTCCAGAAAAGTGTGGACCTAGCCAAATAAATGTTGGTTCCAGGTTCTTCTCTTTAACATTGGAGGGGAAACCATATTAAGAAAGACACGGTATGAGATGACCAGAAATATTCTGCTTTATAAGGAAGAACATGCAGTATAGCAATTCAAATTCAAGCATTTTGAGTCCCGTTCCCTCTAGCCATAAAAAAGGCATGACTGTCCTGCCATGTCTCTCTCAGTAAGGGAAAAATATAGAACAGGTCCCCTACATGTTGTTTGTCCTTTTTGATAAATATTAGCTTCTAGTTTGTCAGTTTCTCTCATGTGCCTGCTGAGAATGCCCATAGGAAGAATGTTTGCGATCTTCTGGTCTACAGTAAACCTCCCATGCTCTTTTCCAATCTTTTCTCTTTTGTGGGAGGTGGCACTCCAGAAGTTATTAAACTGCAGTCCCCATGGTCCCACACCAGTGGTTGTGCAGGGTAGGCCTGGTGGAAGTTACACTCCTCCGGAGGGCCAAATGTTTCCTACTTCTGCTTTAAAAATCAAACTGTCTTTCTTCTTTTTCATTTAGATTTGGAATAAAATAAAGATTCAGGCATTTAATTAATTGTGAAATAGGGCCAGGTAGACAACTGTGATGTTTGAGTTGTTAGCTACTGGGGTGCAGGCTGCTAATTATTTCAAAATAAACGCATGACTGTACATTCAGGTTGTGCCAAATGCGTCTGCGTGAACCTTTTCAGGGCAAAAATCTTGTTTTGGAAGTGTGAGCATTCTCCCCTTAATAGAGTCCTCCAAAACCCAAACAATGCATCTTAAAAATGTTGATTATTATGGAAGTGCTCTATCTTTATGTCTACACATGCATGCATACACCCCCCCCCATTTCCTCAGTGTCATAATTTTACTTCTTCTCCTTCACTATAAATAATCCCCAGCAGCTAGAGACCATGTAGTAAAACTGGTGTTACAATGCTGTGTAACCATTCTTTACTGAGTTATGGCATCAAGAATTGTATCCTGCACAAGATCAGTTGCTTCTGGGGGCATACACTTTCTCCCTAGTTTGCAGCCCTCCTGAAAAAAAATCACAAAAGAGCTTGCTTTTCATCTGGGGTGAAAACTTTTTAAAATTATTGTTTTTGGTTATTGGCAAGTTTTGTTTTTTTCCCTCTAATCTGTACCTAAGGAATCTTATGTGTGCATATGTGCTTTTAGGTTGCCTGTTGGCTCCATTAATTCCATAGAGTTTTCTTTGGCAAGGAATACTCAGAGGTAGTTTTGCCAGTTCCTTCCTCTGAAATGTAGCCTACAGCACATGGTACCTTTAAGGTATTTAGGTCTACCTTATCTTAAATGCCATAGACCAGTGGTTCTCAACCTGTGGGTCCCCAGGTGTTTTGGCCTACAACTCCCAGAAATCCCAGCCAGTTTACCAGCCGTTAGGATTTCTGGGAACTGAAGGCCAAAACATCTGGGGACCCATAGGTTGAGAAACACTGCCATAGACCAATACATGGCCCATGCATTTCAGAAGCCATTTTCATTTCAGGGACTAAGTTCATCCCCAGAGTGATGAGCCTTTGATTTGAATAACAGTGTGCAGTGTGGTGTAGAAAAGGAAAGATAGGAAACCTTACTGAGTACTGATGTGAATTGTAGAGGAGGGGATTGTGGGTGTAGGTGGACATTTTGCCAGCATACAGAAACAGGAGGGAAAGAGAGAACTGAAACTGAGTAAATGAACTAGCAAGCCCTTGTTACTCAGCCTAGCTTTGGAGCATTAGTACTTGAAGAGATAGATGGTTCAGGAACTGTACATTTGATTTGGTACTCATGGACAGTTTGCTTAAATAAAACAGCATTTTGTCTCAACTGTGTTACATTTATTTTTGTCTATATACACTAAGAACCACCAAGGCTAAGCAAATATGCTGACAATAGAATTACTGCCCATCAGGGGTTAGGACTTGTGGCCTTCCAGATGTTGTTGTATTACAGCTTTCTAGCCAGCAAAGGCAGAGGTGGAAGGCTGGTCAGAAGTTGTAGCCTACCAAAAAGCGTTTTCTTCACACTTGCAGGATAACTTGTTTGATCCCACATAGAATACTTTGACTCATGCATTAGTGTACAATAGAGATGGCTGCAATGGCTGCAATGAAAACTGTTTCACATTAGTCATGAGTTAATTTCCAATGACTATCGGAGACAACTACAACTGATTTTCACTCTGGGAGTACTAAAACCAATGGAAATACTAAAATAAAAAATAATACCAAGCATAAGCATAAGTCTCATGAAGTTTGAGGGGATTAACTCTATAGTACGTCAATTTAAGATTGATGCCTAAGTATTCAGTGTTCAAATGAGGCAAACACCTGATTGCCAAAATACACCAGAATCAAGGGGCATATAGCTTGAGGGAGGGGGAGAAGAGCACTCTCAAATAAGAATTCTGCCCCCCCCCCATGACATTTCTTTCTATTGCCCCAATGTATAGCATTGCAGTAACTTTCGTATTTAAATATTTAGAAATACAGTTAGGCACCCAAAGAAAAGGTGCAGGCAAAGTTACTAAGGGAATGTGAACAAGGTACATGTAAGAGTTTGCGATGTGAAAGATTTTCAGTCTCTCTGTAGTGCTAGAAATGTGGGCGATGGAAAACTCTATGAGGGGCAGAAATTCTATTTGGGAAGAGGACAGTGTTGCACCCCTGACCAGAATAGATGCATTATTTTAGAGGGAGGATTCAGAAGGACAGTAACTCTCCTCAGTGTGGCTGGAAACTTCAAGATTGTTCCTACTCTGCTTTTAACATGCATATAATTCAGAAATATACTCAAAAGCACATGTGTTCCTTTAATCTTTTTTTCTGGTGGTTCTGAATGCTATTTATGTTTCTCTAGCCTTTTACCCAGATCATTTCTTGCCAAAGCCGCACTCCATTATGCTTCTAAGAGTGGCTTGTCCCTTCCTTCCTTGCAGCAATGGCTGTTCCTCCACAGGAAGGTTGCCTCCACCCTCTTCTATTCCTAGCCCAGGACAATAGGGAAAGTGAAATTCTGGAAATTCTTTCTATGTAGAGAACCTATAATAAAATGTCAGTAAAGGTTCTTTAAATTGCCAGCTTTGGGGGACATGTAGTGAAAAAGCAGGAAGAAAGGCAGATAACCAGTTGTGCTTGGGGAAGTTTTTTTTTTTTTTTTGGACTTCAGTGTCCAGAATGCTAAGAAGACTGGTTTGATAGTCCAAAATGATTTCTCCTGGGCTTTGTTTACACCATGAATCAAAAAAGCAACGTGGATTCCAACAAGGTGCCAAATCTCATCCAATTAGTATCAACTAGGTTTTCCTGAGGTCATAATAATGTGTCTTTTTGTTAGGTGTGAATAGCACCTCAGCTGTACAGCTTCATTTATTTCAGAAGGAAGGAGAACATTGCTTTGCTTTGCTTTCAAGTGGCAAGCATATGTTATTCAACATAGACCTATGGGGACATCTTGAGGCCACTTGCATGAGCTTCAACTATTTAAATTGAACTAATCTAAGATGTGGTTTTCAAAGAAATAGCCATGTTATTCTCTTGAAGCTTAAAAAGCAGTAGGAGACAGAGGGGGAAGAAAACATGTAACAGCAAGTTTCATTACAGATATAGGTGTGGAGTTGTACATTATTTTTAGGGAGATGCCAGTGCATTTTTAAAAAAAAGTATACTTGCAAAGCTTGAATTGCATAGGTCAAAAAGGTATCTGAGGCCAAAAAGATGCAGCATTTCAGAAGGATGGGGTAGACTCAGGAGATTCACTAGGGATATGGGGAATGAAGACTGTACCAGGTGATATCAAAGAAGGTGACACCAGGATGATTGTCCAGAGGGAGCTCCCTCCCTGGTCCTCAACCTGCCTCAAGGGCAGGGTCTCCTCCTCTTCTCCTGTCACTTTCCTTTCCTGCCCGTAACAGGTCTAGCGTTTTTCAGATGTGGTCTCATCTCTTTCTGCAGCACCCAAAGCCAAACTCGGCACTGGCCATTTTTCATACCAAAGCCACCAGAAGGGGAACATCTTCTGCTAGGACAACAGCAGAGAGGAGGGGGAACTTCTGTCCAGGACAAACACCCCACATTTCCTTCAGCTCATTTAGCAGCAATAGTACCTGACTGGTTTGTGGCAGGTTTGCTCTAAGGAAACTTCATGGATTGATGTCTCGTCACTGGATGGGCTCCTCAGAGTGGTGAGGTGGGCTGATTTCTGGGTGACCCCTACCCTCAGTAGATTATAGATACTAGGGAGGCCTCTGATCCAATTGAGGACAATGTCCAAGCATTCATATTTGTTTCCTTTCTACAATGGAGAGATTCAGACCCACCCTCAATTTGATCTGACAGTCTGATCTGCATCACACTTCCAGCACAACTCTTCCTATTCATTTCTCTAGTGATAAATCTACAATAGCTATAACTTTATTTCTTTCCATATCAAGAAATAACTTGGCAGAGTTTCTCCCCTTTCTCTGTGTATTGTGCAGAAATTAGACAGTAAAGAGAGAAGTAATGGTGCCAAAATACTTACAGTTAGCTCCAGGGATTGTGCATGCAGCAGCTTCAAAGTGCTGCTTTTTACCTGTTGTTTTGAAAAGTACAGAGAAAGAAGCTGCCGTTAACAAATCCATCTTGCCAATTCTGGCATCCTTTCTCCACTCTATTTTGGCACTTTCCAAAAGCTCTCAGAATCTCTCTTAAGTACCTTCATGTCTACCCATATGCCTAATATGGATATATGGGTAGACACATGAAGGGTAGGAAGACTGAGAAGAAGGCATAGCTTCATCCTTATGAGGAGAGGAAATTGAGTTTTTCAACTTTTTTCATTCTGTCAGTGCCAAAAATAGGCAGAGTTAATGATACAGGTAGGAAAGTGGGGGGTGGGAGTGAAGAGACAGGGTTTGAATCCTCACTGAAGCATGGAAACCCACTGGATGGCCTTGGACAAATCTCACCCTTAAAGGAAGGCAATGACAAAGCTTATATGAATTAGTCATCCCATCTGAAGTTGGATTTGATAGGATCACTACAAATAAAATTTGACTTGAAAGCCCATAAAGATTACAGAAAATGCAGGTCAGGTGGAGTATCCCTTATCTGAGAATCTTAAATACTCCAAAATCCAAAACTGTTCACGTGGGTGGCTGAGCTAGTGACACCCTTGCTTCCTGGTGGTTCAGTGTACACAAACATTTTTGTTTCATACACAAAATTATTAAAACATTGTGCATAACATTAACTTCAAGCTATTTCACAATAGCTTCAAGCTATTGAAAGCTATTTTTATTAAATGATATTTGCTTGGTTCCCATCGCCAAGATACTTTATGGCACTCCAAAATCTGAAGAAGAAATGAAATTCCAAACACTTCTGTTGTGTGAGCCGTTCAGCAGTGGGACTCTCTGCCCCGGAGTGTGGTGGAGACTCCTTCTTTGGAAGCTTTTAAACAGAGGCTGGATGGCCATCTGTCAGGGATGATTTGAATGCAATATTCCTGTTTCTTGGCAGGGGGTTGGACTGGATGGCCCATGAGGTCTCTTCCAACTCTTTGATTCTATGATTCTGGTTTCAAGCATTTGGGACAAGGGGTAGATAACCTGGATCAAGTCACAGTATTTGTAATCCAGAAAGGAACCTTTCTCAGCTCTGGTCTAGGCAAGACTGTCCGAGTTCCTTTCAGTAATGAGAGTGATATTACTGAGTCATGTTTAAATGCTACCACTTGTGTGGTCTGCTTGCAGAGTACTAGTTTTATGACATACACACCCAGGCACACCCAGCAGGTTTCCACACACCCCTAGCAAAGAAATTTATTTTGCCTTTAACAGCAGCTGACAAACAGATGCATCTCCTCCCCCTTGGAAGTGGAGCAAAGGGGACAACAGATGGCTGGCCTACAGCAGTGGTTCCAGTCAAAAGATCTGAAAATCTGTTGGGCAAAGAACCAGGTTTATATTGTATTCAGAAGGTGGAGAAGCCCGCTGATTCTTGTACAGCCTGCAAGCTAGCAAGAAGGAAACATGTTTGTAGCTGTGACCTGACACTTTAAAGAGGTCTTTGGAGCTAATGAGGGCTTATTTTTTACACACTTTTTCTCCAGCATGTAGCCACCCTCCTCCTATTGCCAAATCCAGGGATCGCAGAAACCCTTGGCCCCTGGCACTCTGTCACCGGAAGAATGACACTAATTCACTTTGTCTGTTTGCTCTGGAGCAGCCTTCAGTGAAATCATTTATCATCCCTCTCCTTCTGCAGAGCAGCTGGGAAAATCTCATGTGGTTTCAATCTCTGTCAATTAGATTGGAGCACATTGCGTAGAACAGATTTAATCGGCCCCTTTTCTCAGGCTGGAGTAATCAATAAACAGCCACCGAATGGCCATGCTTTCTGTCTTTCTCTCAGCAGGAAATGCGCTTTGTCCAAAAGAGCTCTCTGAGTGGTACTTGAATCATTTTGTTTCAGGAAATATACCAGCACACTTAGCCGCACGATAAATCTTAGTTTCTCTCCGCAAAGATGCAGTAAAACTGACCTAATTGCTACAAGATGCAGTAAAGACTGTTTTAGACACTATGATTTCCCTTTAATTCCCATGGTAACATGCAATTGAATTCTGAGATTTCTAGTTTAGGGAGGAGCATTGAGCATTCTGAGCCATACAGCTCTAGCCTTCATAAGACCACAAATCCCACACAGTTAAATTAGAAGTGTAGTTCCATCATTCCATAGTATAAAACAGTTGAATGTATTGGGAAGATTCCTCTTTTTGGACTACAATTCCAAGAAAACCCCCCAATACATGTAATAAAATTTATTCTCTGCAAGAAAACCACA